AGATATGATCTCTCTTTTTAATTTTCACTAGAACTCTGGCTGCGGCATTTTGGATCAGCTGAAGGCTTTCAACAATAATTTTTGGACTTCCTGATAGTAAAGAATTACAATAGTCCAGCCTTGAAGTAACAAATGCATGGACTAGTTTCTCAGCATCACCCCTGGACAGGATATTTCTAATTTTTGCAATATTCCGCAGATCAAAGAAGGAAATTCTAGAAACCTCTTTGATATGGGGTTTAAATGACAGGTCCTGATCAAAAACAACACCAAGATTTTTTACTTTATTATCTGAAGCAATGCACAATTACACTCAATGAGCATGATGTTCAGGAATAACCAAAACAAAGAAGGACTTATTAATCGGGTTGAGGTTAAAGGATCAGCAGTGAAAGAGTTTGGGTTCCGCCGATTGCTGTGAATATATTGACCGTGCTACTGAGGCTTAAATATTTCAGATGTAACACTGTTCAGCTGCGACAGTGGCTGCTTACAAGCTCTCTTCCCCTTTTATTTGCTTTACTTTTGCCTATTTTCAATAGTGTTTAGTGTTTGCTTAGTGATTAAATACAATAATACTGTGATTATTGGCTAATAAAGGTACCATTGTATTTTAACCCGTTGACTTTAGTGTTTATTTTACACAGTGAACAATTTATCACTCAGACTGGATTCACTCTTCTTTCAGTAAAATCCTAACGAACAGAGAAACATTTATTTGGTTGGTGATTAATAACTCCGCTGATAGCCATAGTCTAAATTACTGAATTGGTGAAGGCAACTGGATTTAAACAGCTGGATTCAGGAGTCCATCCTTTTGTGTAAAACACTAAGAACCCTGGTAAGTAAGCAAATGACAATCAACTAATAATAAATTACTTTTACCTTTCGATTTGAATGACCCATTAATTAACTATGAATTCCATTTCTAGCTATTTAATATATTTATTATATTCTAGTAAAGTTTCACAACACTGCATATCAAGTTACAGCGTTTATACCTAAATAATAAATTAACAGCTAGTCCAAGTGATCGGCAGTAATCCGGATCGGTTGCAAAAATCCTGCTCAGAGCATCCACAATCCCTTCTAAAATTATGAGCGCAGATTTAAATGTGCCTACTTTATAAAAGTATTCACTGAGACCATTGCAAATCTATAGGCAGGGGTGAAAGTGACTGAAATCCCACATCCTCTGTAACCACCCCGTTCCAGACCAACTGTGCAAAGCAACGCCTTCAGCCTCCTTAGTTCCTCCCATTTTGCTCTGCTCAGAGTTCCTTGGAGCCAGAGGAAAACATGCAGAATATTATTTAATTTATAGGAACAGGTACATAGGTAATGAACTCTTAATTTGATATGGCAAATTAAAAACAAATCCCAATCAGCAACCAGCAAATGTGCAGGTTCTGCCCAAATATCTTCTATTTGTTGTCAATCTTTGTAATAGGGATAATTAGGATCATACAAAATTGATTGTATGACCTATGTTTGTTCTCTACTTCCAAAATCAGCATCTCTTCATCCATGCCTGCGATAAGAAGATTCTTTTGAAGATGTGAAATTGGAAGTTGGTACTGGATTTGACAAAACTTTTAAAATAAATATTTTTGATTAAAATTACAAATCTGCTTACTGGTATGCTGATTTCCAATTGGTGTACATCCAATCAAATTGTCTTCTTTTTTTAGTAATATATATAATGTATGCTCAAATTAGTAGTTACTGATTTGTCGTTACCCTATTTTGCGCATCTTCTCGACGTTACTATTCCTGTTTCGTGAGATTGCAGTTGTGTATCTTGACCTGGCCAGCTTCCAACGGAGCGGAGTGAAAAATAGCTTGGCTCCGTATTTGAAGGTGAGGGATGGAGAAGACGTACATGGACAGCCATATTCGGAGGAATAGTGGTGGATGTGGAACAGTTCTGATTGATTAACATGACTGCGGATGTGCTCCGCACGCAGTATGCGAGCAGAGCGGTAACAGAGGATGTGGAATCTGGGGGTTGTGTTCTCAGACTATCCCTATTCAAGCCTCTAATTAAACAAACGTTTTAGAGCTGAAACTGCCATTACAGCACTTAGAAATGCTGGACAGATGCTTAGCAATGGGCTGTTGAGTTCCAATGGGCATGGCTGATCCATTCGATGTGCATATTTATCCAAAGCAATGATGACAAACTAATGCTTGGTGACTTCAAAGTAAGGCTGAGAAGTAAGGAGAGCGCAGGAAGCAAATAGCTTTGTGAACAAGGAATGTTAAGGCAAAGAAGAAACCGTTAATTTTTGGCCAGAAGGGACAAAGTATGACAATTAAACTCTAAACCTATGTCCAATGGATCTTAAAGGACTAAGACAACGGTGCAGTTTTGTAAAACACCATATACTCCCTACACTGAAGTGGAGCAGCTGATAGGAGCTGGAGAACATGGTTTGATACGGTGTGTGCTAGGTGTATGTTTATACAGACTGATTTGTCCAAAGAATTATGGACCTAGGCTAGGGGTCACGGATTAGCGGACCGCGGTCTGGACCCAGACCCACCTGCTGGCTAATCCGGACCCAACCAGATTTAAAACATTTGTAAATTAGTGCATGTTGTCTGATGACAGTTTCAAACTTCTCTTGTGTTAATACGGTAAAGCCGTCCGGATCGTCTGGCACCAGGCTACACGTGATAAACATTAGCCAATGAGCTGCTGTCAGTCTGGGTTGCTGCTGCTGCTACTTTTAGACACAGCAGGTAAACCTGTGGGAAGCTGGACGATGGGAAAGAAGGAGAAGACGATGAGAAAAAGAGAGCAGAGAAAATGTGGACTGCTGGAAGAACTGCAGTGAACTGGGGAAAACCTGCTGCTGTGAAGCAGGATTCTCCACCATGAACATAAGATTTTAGAAAATACTTGATTGCACTCAGTGTTGCTCAACACAATACGAGCTCCATAATGCTTGTTTACTTGATTCTTTGTTTGTCTACTATTAATATTTATATTGAACCACAATTTAAAAGTCAATGTCATGATTTTCATAGAATTTACACTTTTTATTACTTTTTTTTGTACCCCCTTACAGTCTAATAAACAACTTCGATTTTAGGGGTTCTTTGATTCTATTCAGGGGTGGTTCAGTACAACCTAAAATGGGCTAAAAACGCCTATGATTGCAAATAATTCTG